CTCAAGACCTGTGCAATCCTCTGACAATCCTCACACATTCCATGGTCTGTATCTTGTCGAAGGCTTTACAGCTGAGCTGGTGCTGTGGGAGCCGTTCTACTCGGTGCTCTCACTGTGGCACGTACATGTTCTACTCCATGACGGTGGCGAACACTGAAGCACCGACTGGCGGCTCGGAGACCAGTGTGTACATGCACACGGGGTCGTACGGTTGGGCCACGCGTACGTTGAAGTCAACCTTTTCTTGCTCGTGCGCTGCGGCCCACGTGATGTTCGTCGTGAAGACGAGCGAGTCGGAGAGTACGATGCTGTCGACGCAACTACTGAGTGGCTTGTACGTTATCCGGCTCGGCCACACCAAGTACACCCCAAGCTCCGGTCATGGCGGTGCTGGTTCCTGTACTCCTCGTACTTGGATGTATGCCGGAATGCTCGACGACGACAAGGTGGGGCAGGTTGAAGACGGATCACCAGACGACAAAGAGCAACCAAGTACACACACTGGACGTGGTCGTGCACGCAGCATTACCGTTGCCGCTGCTGGCCAGGTCTGGTGAGTAGGACGCTATGAGGGAATGCTGCTCTACGCTGCGTGGGCACAAAGTGGAGCGACGCGGAGAGCTTGGCGTCCCGAACACTGCGTCTGACCATCACACACATGAGGGAGATGCTGTCGGTTATTCACACAGAAGAAGCCAACTTCAGCCCCGTGTGTGACCATGCAAAAGTGCATCGAGCTCTGCGTGTGGATGGCATGCTTTGCGTTGCTCTGCGTGCACAAGAAGACGCGGGTGCACAAGTGATGTTGGCGTTTGACTGCCAATGAGGACCGAATGCCGTGGTCGCGCCAGTCGAAAGCTGTCACTTAGAGCAAAGGTGTCGAGAGAGAGAACGAAGTTGGTCGTCTCGTTATTATCGCAAGACCAGGCTCGCTCTCTTCAAGACTGTCCGATGCAAATCGGACGCAGGACGAACAGGAGGCACGTCTCTGGACGTTGTACCGGACACGTGCGGTGAAGATTTGCCAGCTGCAAAGAAGGGTCCGAATTTACGTCCAAGGAGGACAGATGGTGGACTTTCCCTGAACAACAAGAAGATTTTGAGTTAAAATTTTTGACATCCCCGAGCACAATTTTTCCGGAAGCTGAAAGAGTTGTCATTGAAAAGACCCGAGCGATGGAAGCCAGAAAACGCACAAAGTGCCGTGAGTAACAACTATGTGAAGTTAAACATGCGCAAGTGCTTCAAACAGCTTCAGCACCTAGTTCATCTTCTTCGACATCGATCGGCACCTCATGCCGCTTGAATTTGCAGCTCTCACAGCAAAAGACTTCGTCACCTGGCTCGTGACACTTGAGCGAAAGGATGGTGGAGTACTGAGCTACTCTGCTCTTAATACCCACAGAGCCAGTCTATTCAACCTCTTTCGCGACTACGGGTACACTATGAGCAAGCCATTAGAGTCGGAGCTTACGAACTACTTCAAGGGGCTCAAGCACAAGCTTGCAAAGGATGCTGGTAGCGGGGAGAGCGCAATCAAGACGGGGAAGGGCCCGCTAATGCTCGACCTTTATTCTTTTTTATGCGATAAGATGCTGGCTCACGAAAATAAGGAGATGATTTTTGCTCATGCGTACATGGTGATCGCCTGGAATTTGATGTGCCGTTCGTCTAATGCATTTGGCATTCGTCATTCACACATGAAGTGGAGGGGCGATGCTCTACAGATTTACTTCGCTCATATGAAGAACGATCAAGGTGGCAATCGCCCTCGTGATCCCCGACATGTACATGCCAACCCACTGCAGCCAGGTATCTGCCCTATTGTTGCTCTCGGACTCGATTGGGCAGCTACGAATTTTGACGAGAGTGATCTCCTTTTCCCCGGAAACAACCAGTACGAGAGATTCCGCAAGTGCTGGATCCGGTTATTAGATCAAGACGATGTGTCAGCCGAATTACAGCGCCAGGGTCTGGATTCCGCCGAGCTAGGTACTCACTCAATGCGGAAGGGCGCAGCAACATTCTGCTCGTCGGGCTCAACAGCATGCCCATCGTCGACGGCAGTTCATTTGCGTGCTGGTTGGTCACTTGGTGGGGTACAGAATACTTATTTGAGATACGAGGCTGCTGGTGACATGCATGTTGGTCGAAATGTAGCTGGTTTGCCTACCGAGAGCTACCGATTTTCAGCTTTAGCGCCGCACTTTGAAACACGTGACGATTGTGTTAAAATGGTGTGCGATTGATGTTTCCAGGTTTGCCAAACCGCCTCCAGTTTATTGCAGAGTATTGTTTGGCTTCTCTAGTTTATCATTCAGCCTTTCTGAAGGCAACACTATCGCCGAAGCACCACATCTTTGAGACCCCAACCCCAGTTATGGTTACTCTTTAGGACTTTTAACCAATCAGCGACGTTGGCGCCACTTCACAACAAAAATGTGGCCGCGTCGACAGCCAGCTAATGCCAGCACTTCGAGCTCGACTCCTGCGGCTCGTACAGCTCCAGCACCTAGTTCATCTTCTTCGACATCTTCTTCGACATCCACATCTCTTTTTGTGCCACGCAGAAGTGCTGTCAAAGCGTCAAATACTCCTGCTAAGTCTCAAAAAGATTTGAACTCTGGCACCGACGATGCTGCGTGGCTATTACGAGCGTTAGGCAAGAAGAAAAAGAAGAAAAGCCAGAATGCGGCGAAGATAAATGCAGTCAGAACCTCTGGAACCGAGAAATCGGCGAAGAAGACGCAGCAGAAAGTGGAAAATGAGCGAAAAGCGGGCGTCATTGGGCTCTCCATGTCCGTGCAGGAACGTCAGCAGTTGTGGCGCAATGGGTCGACCAAGAAGCCTCTGGATGAAGCTGCAGAGCATACCAAACAGCAGGAACGAGAACGCCAGGAAACAGGCTTTGACCGGGTCTTCCAAGACGTCTTCGGCAAGGATGAAGTGGGACAGAAAGGAGCGGACGAGGAAGAGATGGACAGCATCCTTGGCGCTGCTAAGTCGTCCTCTCTGGGACTCTCTACTACGACTGCGTCATTGATGGCTACCAATGACGGCAA